CAGATGAGCGAGCAGGGAAGGTCCGCAATAGGGCAGGGGTGGGGCGTGCGCGCTCCCAGACGCGCCGAGACGTGGCCGCTTATTGGCTCCGGCTTCCGCCTCCGTGTCTTCCCGCGCCTTCACTGTGTGCTGCCTCGAGACGCGAGGGGCGGAGGCGAGGCCCAAAAAGTGGGCTCCTTTAATACTCCTTAGATTCCGCGTGCGCAAAATTAACGAAGCGAAGCTTTGCCTCACGCAGCCTTCTGGAAGACTAACCAGGCCTGCTTCACTTGCACTCAAATTACAGATGGGGGAACATTTATGCGTTCTAGGTGGCACTGACGAATGCTTTAAATGTGTATAGAAAGTGCTGAGAAATCCAGTGAAAAACATTTGGTAAAAACATAATAAATAAATTTCGATGTGTATTTTTGCAGGCCGCACCGCTAGGATGTGTTACTGTGGCTGGGAATTTGATTACCGCTGGATATATGAAGCTTATCTGCTGGATATCTGCGAGGCAAACTTACAATGTGGTCCCTTGAGCCTATTACGCTGTGCCTTTTCTTACTTTTTTGTACTACGAATAATCAAAATTCCTTCGCTGCATTAAACGTTTCTTCGACATTGACAAACATAAATAATTTTATTATCCAATCATTGTATTTTATGTGCTATCAACAATATTATTGACAGTGAATCGTGCTTTAGAATACAACTCTTAGTCAAAGCAAGATAATAAAATGAGTATATAATTGAAAAACTACAATGTATTGTATATCCTGTTACATAATACTCACTCTCTATACAACATAACTTGCTTCAGCATTCAACATAACACATACTTATCGCTTTGTTTTAAAATTTTGCATTTTTCGAAAATTCAGGTATTTATCGAAAATGAGAACTGAGGCATTCCTTCAAGCGTTCTATATGATATCCAACGCCGAAGTGTAATCCGAAATGAGACTGGGAGAGGTGGATGAGGACATCAACTGATGTCACTGCAGCGCCTCTGATCGGGAAGTCTTAAGTTCGAGCTGAGCCTCTGCCAGGAGCAGAATTCTAGCCGGCGGCTGCTGTGCTCGGTTTCCTCGACCAACACCCGCCGAATGCCGGACTCGGACCACGGACCATGCGTGATCGATCATTACGCATCCTTGTGCTATCCCCATCCCTTACACATACTTACACTAACATGCACTACATTACCACACGTGCCAGGAGACCAGCCCGAGCAATGCCCCGCTGAGGGGAGATAATTGTTTGGGGAAATTATTTTAGCGGTTGACGCGCCCGGCATAACTTGTCAATCAATCGATCCAAGAAGGAGAAACCATTGTTAAAAACATTTGGAAAGTATTGATGCTATATGTAAACTACCCCCAAGAAACAAAATACCAGTTTCAAACTCGTAAGGCCTTTTCAGGAAGACGGAAATTTTTACTTATCGATCGTGAAATACCAATTTTGGGAAAATCGGCTGAACAATTTAGATGCTAGCGTTGCCGGACAGACTGGCGTTTTGCCGTCAGTCCATTTTTCGTTATCAAGGACCCGCGAAACGGCGGATTCTGACTACACCATGTGTTAGAGGGAGTAATTTGCTACATATAGGAAGATTTATCCAGTGTTGTTACCAGAGCTTAGCACTAAGAGGTATTTTGTCGAAAAATCGTCATTTTTCGCCTCACGATAACAATACTTTCTCATCTCCTGAAGTAATACGATAAAATAAAAACAACAACGATAGTTAATATTAAAACTTTATAAGTAAATAAAGTCGGGGAAATTTGTCATTAAATTGATTCATAACACTTGACAAATTTTAATTCCGTACATACAACATTATGAAATGAAATAAATAATTGTTGGTAATTTGAGAGAGCTCTTATAATGCAATCATATTCAATTTTCGATCATTTAAATCATACGACTTTCAAAAATTAGATAAAGAGATCCCATTAAAGAAGTAACAGGAAATTAATCAGCATCAAAGTAAAAACAGAAGTAATAATACAATAAACTGCAATTTCGTTAAACGTCCTGAACAACGATACCACAGTCCCGCAATCATGATCATTTCATTTTGTTTTATTTTTCTACATGTTTGCATAAAGTATTTACAAACTTTCCGTACATTGCACTAAATATACACATAAAATAAGGTCCAAATATTTTGTGAAAATTCATTTGCTTGCAGAATAAGAGGAATTAAATATGAAAATTTTAATTTGTTGAATTCCCACTTTCATTGCATTGGTAAAATTTCCATTCATCTTAATCTGAGTACGTGGAATGAATACATGAAATGCACGAAGTCCCACATTGTGTTGAGTCAATGAAGCGCCATTCAAATAGAAAAATACAATGCAAGAGCGGAACTTCTATTAAAACACCTTTAAAGCAGTCTCGTTTTCATTGTTTTGCATCAATGTAATATTTTAAATACAAAAGTAGTCTTTCTGCAATCCTTGAGGATATCAAAGCTGAAAACCGTCAACTTTCCACCCTACAAGGGTTTGTTCATTTTGAAAATGCACAAACGTTTTTCACTTTTATTTAACCCGCGGAGAAGACATTATAAAAACCCTCAATATTGATCCATTCTAATTATTAGATGATCACGTAATTTTTAAGCGTGTTTTTAGTATTACAATCAATCAATTTAAATTATCTCTGCCTAGTTCACTAATATATAGCACATTTAAATCTGTTATTTTTCTCAAAGAGTAGAACCAACCCGATCTACGAGTAATACTACCACGTACTCAGAACTTGCAAAATAATTCAAGCAGTTTCCGAAACAAACCTACAAGCAACATATGATCGAACGTTCAAACGTGTATCAAATAAAAAGCACCTACCAGCAGATAATTTCTTGAGATATTTGAATCGGTCATACTAGGTCGATTACTGTTTTTTCTTTGTCTATGAGTTGAAAACTCAATAACGGTCCAAATGACTCATGGAAGAAAAATGTGAATCATTGTTTATACATGCCATTATATAGGCAGTAAAACCAAAGTAATTTTTTCTCTTCCCTTTTGAGAGGGGTTAGATCATATATATACAAGAACTTTCGATCAAAGTTTCTTATTGATATCTTGTCTAAAATTGGATTCGATTAGCATACTCTGAAACTTCGTTACTTGAAATATCTTATGTTCTGTAAAATAAAGTACCAAAACTAAATAAAGAAGCTTTCTGTCAGTTACTGTTTGACAACGCAATTTATAATGGAAACATAGTGGATGGCCTGATGACTTTCCATGCCACGGAAGAACTAATGCCAATACCTCCTCAAATAGCAATCGAGCGTCTGTTATGAAATCTTCGTTAGGAATGCATGTCCTTTGCCGACCCCATTCATTATGTCGGTTTCCAGATGTACTGATTAATTGATTGTTTCAAGGAAAAGCTTCAAGACCTTGTGCGTAGGGCAAACTTTCTTTGTGCATAGGGCAGTCTTTCTTGAAATTCCTTAAATTCAATCGTGTTCTTCTCCTCACACAGGAAACAATGGGTTTCGAAACCGTAGTATCTATTAACTGTGCTGTTGGTATACCGGACTGATATTGCTCACTTGCAGTTCGAATTGACGTAAAAATAAATTTTGGATTGATATATTTCGTACGTGAAGACTTAATTTCAGTTATATCCTCCCACAAGAACATTTTTGGGGAATTGACTTTACTTCTTTCTTAGTCACTACAATCACTTCATCTTTGTCCAAACTTCTCTCATATACAAAACACACACTTTCGACATGCATACCTAATTATTATTTCTTGGTAACGTTATTTACTTCGACCCGCACGAGTCGAGAGGGAATCCAGCCATGTAGAAATGAAATGGAAGTACTGCGAGTATTAAGATCGATTTAGGGGATATGGCGTAGATCCGGACACAAATATACGCAGTTGCGGTCGTTCTCTGCAGCGAAATCAGCACGTTGACACCGCCATGTCCCCTAATGCTAGACCCGGGTCTGCCATTGTTGAGAACGAACAATAGTAGGCCTGCTATCGGGATGGGCCGTCTGAGTGGGCGGGCAAATAGACAGCGATGGATAACGAATGTGGGAGGAGTCACCGGGTCTCTCGACATGTTTTATTGCGCGAGCGTTTCTATTAAATAACTTTAACGCATAGTTTATCCCATTTTCAATGAAGGGGGTAACAAAATAAAAGGGAATGCTCTTCTACGAAGAAAATGTAACAAAAATACGAACACAAAATGCAAAAAACCCAAAATTACAATTCTGGCCCTAAAAAATCGAGTTGTCTTGAAAGAGCTAAAACGAGAAAATTGAGTACAAAATTAAAATTACGATAAGTTTTGAAAATCAAAATTAGTACTGCCGCATTTGTTTTAATTGCGAAAACCCCTTTATTTTAAGCTCGAAAAATTTAAAATCAGTAAGCTTTTTGGGGAAAATACTTTAGGGGCTGATGTCGAAGTGATTAAATTGCAATTTTAAAGTTTGTATGAAACTAAATAAATCATTCTAAGATATTTCAAATGACAAAATCTCAGAATAGCAAATTTGCCATTTCCTTTTACACTTGCAAATGTGATTGTAAATGCAACGTTTTATCAAAAAGGATATAAAAATGTATGTATCAATGCGATGAATCAAGACGTGCTTTAGAAGAGTACATACATCAGATATTACTCGTTATTACCTTGGGTATTATACTTGGATACTTTACAAAATCTCTTAATATATTTAAAAAACGTGAAAAAAATAAAAAAACAGACAGCTTAAACTTCCGTTTGCCTCTGTATTCACCTCTGATTTTCCTTTTCACACGTGATTGCTTTCCACCATTCCCTTCCCGGGAAACTCCTCGAGTCAGACACGCAGACCGCTGCCGTGTGTGCAGCAACTAAGCTGCGCCGACTACCATCTAGTAGCGTGCCGCCACTAATAGGGGAGTTATCAGCATCCTTCAGCCGGAGCTGCACGGGTGGTGGCGGGGGGGGGGGACGTGGCACAGGACCCACCTGTGAAGCGTCGCAGTCCGTCAGCTTCTGCGAGGCGGCCCGCGCCGTGCTTTGACGCCCTTGAGCACCGTCGCCGCCACTGGGCTCGTGCCTTTGGAAGGAGCTCGAGCACACGCAGAGGAGGGGCAGGCGCTAATGGCGCAAAATTGCGATAAGCAAGGGCTGCTGGGCGTCCTTTCTCGTGATACGTAAGTAGTCCTCGTATTTTTATTATTATTTCATAACCCAATGCTCACAATAACCTTATTCCTGCTCTATATTTTTTACTTTCTTGATTACTGTTGTCCACGTTCTGTGGCCACGGGAATACTGGGCACGAGAAGTGTTTTTACTTTCACGAATTTCTTCTCAAGAAAAAGTATTGTCATCTTTCGTCGGTCATTACGAATCCTTCAATTACACAGTTACACATAAATTACACTTTATTGACCAAAACGTTTTTGTTCCATAACTCAACACGCGAAGAACAAATAAGTCATATCCGGTTGCCTCTTGCTTGAAATCTTGATGACCTCGGGTGACGTAAAACTGAATTGTAAGCAGTAACGCACTGAGTATGAGATTTCAGTTGGTCCACGTTTTATGAGAATTAGCAGAATAACCCATCAAAAAATTGCATTTTTTCTGTGAAGATCGAAATTATTTCTTTTGTAAAGAAATACTATGAGAAACTATCGGCTGCTGCGACACCGCAGGGTTGTTTATCGCATACACGCTAACTCGGATCTGCATTTTAGCTGAATCCCGATTTTTATCCCCCAAGGTTGTTACCCCTGGGGGAATGGACTATGAGATGATAGTGGGGGATGACACACCTATGGACATATACAAATACACCCATGCCCGAGGCGGGACTCGGACTGCCGTCTTCTGCTCCGACACCGCTTCGACACTACTGCCCTAACGATCCCGGCCATCGGACCGGCGCAGCGCGGTTTATTGTGTAGGAGCACGTGTTTCTCCGCTGCACAGCAGTGTGTGGTGGTGGAATGGGTCGCGTGAGCCTCCGCCCTCGCGTGCTGTGCGCGGAGGCAGCGTGCGCCTGCAACGCACGGCGCTCGCCCTCTCGTCTTTGACGCGTGCGAGGAAGGCTCTGCTTCACTCCGTCACGGAGATCGCAATTGCTTCTTTGGGTCTTGCGAATTCTTCCGGTTCTACACCCTGGATGCATGGACGAGTCTTCAGAGCAGGCCTCGACATTCCGCGAGTTTGGCGAGCGAGCGCGTCCACAGGGCGCCGGTTCAGTATCCGCTAATAAACTTCAGTTCGCGTATCACTTCAAGCACATTATGCGTCCTTATGCGAATTAAAACATGTCACCTTCAGCCTATGAACATAAACAAGAAATAAATCCCTCGTACTAACAATGATAAATACTAAGGTGGTCATTTGGGTAGAAGAATAACGTGGAAGGTTAATATAAAAAAGAAAAAGCGTATAAATAGAAACTACCAATGGCTAATCGGTAATCACTCACAACTTTCACTGTCAAACAAAATACTTATGTATTAAAGTATCCCGCAACCTATCAGTAACAAACGCACTCAGATATGTGAGCAATGAAGGCCTCCTATAAACCAACAAAGAAAAAAGAACGTACACGACTAAGGAATACCAAGACTGTATAACAATCCAAATCATCTCGCTATAAATCTATTAGACAACAGTGAAGGAATAAGAAGCCTACAGTGACATATCAGTAGATATAACATACCAACGACATAATACTAACGATATAACGTTCCGTTGTTTAGATAGATATGCTACTATTGCGTAACATTTTCACTCCTGTAAATATTATTAAAACATTTGCCTAATATTACTGCAAATATAAATTGCAAATATACAGAATTTATCCAAAACAATCCTGGGAATTCATTTTGTTTGTAAACAATTTTTGCAACTCAATTTGAAGTATGATTATTAACGGTGACTACGGCATTGAGGCAAAAATTATACTTTCAATTCACCACGCGTTTATTTACTTTCTAACCTAAAATACTGTCCCACGTAAACACGTTTCCCATTCCATAAATATGTACTGCATAATAAAAACAAATTCTGAAGAAAGAGCAACAGTACACACGTTACTTTAACCGCCGTTACAGCCCACGATGAAGATTGTTCTTGCATATTTAATTTTAATGACCGTTCGCTCAACGGTGATCGTAGTCGCTTGGTACTCTGCTTCCTCGGAGGACAGCAAACGGTTATGGATACACGTCCTCCCCTCCATTCTGGCGCCGGCTCATGAAACAGAACACTCACTCACCGTTATTTAGAGCACTTATTCCCTGCGCATTCGACTACGTAATTCTACGTCACGCTTGGACGTTTTATCGATCAGAACACTTGGCGATGGATTTCTTGGCGCGGTTTCCTAACGCTCCAATGAGATCAGTGGTGACTGAAGGAGTTGACGTCAAACAGGTTGCACATGTGTGAACCAGGCAGCTTTAACGCATATGTGTTGCGGCAAAAGAAAAGAAATGGCTAATTTGCGAATTAGCCGGATAATGTGCTTATTAGCGAAACGTTTTCTATCAAATTATAAGAATGTCGATTAATGAATCGTTTAGAACATCATTCCATTAATTCGAGATTACATCACAGTAAATTCGCTAAAATAAGGTAATCCTCTGAGTGTGAGTCGTTTTGCATGCACACAAGAGATATTTTTGCCAAAGAATGTGTTGGAAATTATCTGCAGCACAAACTCAGTTGTTTTATGTGAATCGTGATACACCGCCCCAACTCGCGTAGCAATGTGAGAAATGCGTAGCAAAGGGTCAAGTGATATATATAGTGAGGTTGGTTTTTGTTTGGTTAGATGGTATCAACCGAAATGTAGTACTGACACAGTAAAACTCGACTGCACACATCTGGTCTCGTACTGATATTAGCAACTTCTCACAAACAGATTCCCTTTTATAACATTTCCCTTTTTATTCCCGACTAGCGTAACATCACTTAACATAGCCTTCTCGAATTGTCTAATGAACACAAAATCCGGTTAACATCCCAATTATTTCCCGAACATTATCCTCTCATATCCGATAATATGAGCATTACTCAGGAAATTCGCAAGTTAGTGAAATTCAGACATTACCTTCTACAAGAATAATTGAAACTGACAATATCAAATAATTTTTTATTGGCAGTTACAATGCATTTCGCATTACATCGTACGAAAATTCGAATAGAATAATATAATAAACCCTATGTTCTTAGATTTTTAATTCGATAAATATCAGACAGATGCTGGAGCAGTACTTACAAAACGGGTCGCAGTCCGCGCGCAGCTTTCCATCTTTTTCTCGTCTTATTCTCTCCCCTACTCGCAGAGACACAAGCCGGCGGGGGACGGTGCCCCGCGGGAGGAGATCCCTGGAAGGGAAATTCTCCGCTCCTTTGTGGATTTATGAAGAAATGTCGATACGGTTGTTACTGTTATGTCTTTCGTGTTGGTATTTCACTGTACTGCTGATGAAATAATCTCCACTAAAAGTCCACAGAGTCCCATGAAACTTGCGGAAATAGTGAAGCTACATTAAAGTTTAGGAGAAAGGTCATCTGAGCATTTGCAGAATGAAACAAGAGAAACCAATTTTTTTAAATATATTATTTATAAATAAATATATTATTTTCATTTGCAATCGCTTTCATTGGAACAATGGATAGATCGTACATTGGCATGATAAGTTGAAGTCTATGCCCGAATCCGGTCCGGAACACCAAAAATAGACCGATGAGTCAAATTCTTGAAACATCATTTCGATCAAATATCTTTCCCTTCAACTGTTAAAAAATACATAGGTGATTATAACAATGTCATAAAATAGTTTAATTAAATTAATTTCAGGTGATGAGACAATGTGGAAAGAACCGACCACAACAATTTAAAGTAATAAATAGAAATGAAGCATGGGAGCAGACGAATTTGTTTAGAATATTTGGGCCTCAAGAAGCGCCTCACGCAAAATGCTGGCAGACACTATAATAGTGCATCCTCATCCTGAAATCTATGTTAACTGGAAACCTACATTCAATACAAATTTAGAAAATATTGTTCTCTTTCTTTGCTATTTCAATCTATTTTTACTTATTTTGTGTAACATGTTACAAAGTTAAAGTTCATTGATTACACTGAAACAGCACATTGTATTCCTAAGCGATGGTTTACTTTCGAAAACAAAGATTTTTCCTCTAATACTATATTTTTCTAGCAAGAAAGCACTAATCATAACAATTGTTCTGTCGATCTACGTTTTTAAAACCAATGTTTTTGAATATAACTTTTAAAGATAACATAAAGATAATATTTATTTAAACTGCAATTGGCTATTCTCAGGTGTCAGCTAATTATATAAATAAGATAATATAAATAAGATGCAAATTATATTATAATAATAAATAATTATAAAAACAATAACAGTAATGTATACATTCTGAGAATAACATCAATTAGAAAATGGGTTCTTCCTGTGTCAATGCAATGTAAAATTATGTGCATATTCGAAACGTTGGAGACAAATAAGGTGAGCGAACAATTAATGCCAAATTACCCACACAATAAAACAATATCTATGTATTTCGTTCTTTGATTAAATTCGGTTCCGGCAAATGCATAGAAATCTGATTCAATTGTCCTTTACTAGATCCGCTTCACTTCTTTGTAAGCATTATCATTTGTATGAATTGGATTCTTTCATTCTGCTTCACAGATATCAACTGTTGGTTCATTAATTATAAATGACCGAATTACTTCTAGGTATACACTTTGCAATAGATGCACGAGAGACACAATACCAAATGTGAAATATTTGCTATTCAGACAAGATCATCCACGTTTTGCATGTTATTTTGTATTAAAATTAACATTCCTTTTATATATTTACTAAGTGAATTAGGAATCTTTATACAAATGTGAATAACAAATAGCAAATCAGATAATAAAAAAAGCACATTAAAGCGAAAGTTTTCATTATATCTTTTCTATTAGTAACAATGGGAAGCGTATAATTCTAGCAATTAAGAACTAGGCACCAAATAAGATATATAAAAATAATTCAATAACCGTTTTTCTTAATATCTCGTGGAAAATGTTCACACAAATTCTAAGTCATTTACCGTAATAGCGTTTAAATTAAACGGTTGACACATAATCTAGCAACATATAAATAATTAA